AAGACCGTACTCCGAACAAAAGACCAGGCTGCTGGGAATTATCGACACCGCACAATCTGGGCTCTTTTTACAAGGTTGCAGGCCTGGCTGAAATACTCGGACGTCAATGAAGGTCACCCGTCAACTTAGAGTAGTGCCTAAAGATTACTTTGTGCGGCTATAAACGACCGTTAAAGTAATGATGAATTTTTGAAGGATTTTGATAGTCATGCCAGCCCAGCATCATCAACATTGAGAAATGCCCCGGCATGAAGTGGTTAAGTATGTCATTCTAGATCTACAACATATTGCATACTCTTCAGAATATACTCCCTGGGGTCTTCTTCTCACAACCATAACTCACTTTGGCTTGACACTTTTACACTGAAGAGAATCTCAACAGTTCTAAATTTTACTTAGCTTCATTTACCTGGAGTACAACAAGATTCGCATCTCCACTGGATATAACTGACATGAAGACTTTCATGAATTGTTATAACACACAAACCAGGCCAAACATCTGACTTCAAAGAATATTGTGCCCCTTTTTGTGATTAGATCTGATCTCCCAATGTCTTCATCCAACAAGATGTTTTTGACACGCTGAATCCCCCCCAAAAGAAAACTCAGAAGAAAACCGAAGTTACAATGAACACCCACCTCTCGTTCACTGGGGGGTGGTGGATTGAGCGTTGTCTTAAAGAACTGGACAACGTTATCATCCACATCTTCTTCCAGCTCCCATGTGCTCTCTTCATAGGGTAAACTGCGCCATTTCACCAGGTAGTGTGTGACCTTCTCCTTAGTGTCTGGGTCCTCAGTTACAGCCACATCTAGGATCCTGTCTACTTGGATGTAATCTGGGTTGAACATTTCATCGTCAGGCTGAAATTTAGAAGGAATCCTTCATGTCAACAAAAGCATCAAATCATGCTTGCCAGATGACCAAGTTTATTAACCACTTAGCACTGGGGTATTTATCAATGTTGATGATGCTGGGCCGGCATAATTATCATTTTTTCCGTTTTCAAAATTCTTAAAAAATTCATCATTTCATTTAACTGACGTTTATAGCTGCACGAAGTAATCTTTAGGCACTACTCTAAGTTGACAGGTGACCTTCACTGACGCCCGAGTATTTCAGCCAGGCCTGCAGCCTTGGAAAAAGAGCCCAGATTGTGCGGTGCTATGTGACTTTCTTTTGTTCACGAACCTGCCACAGTGTGCTGCTGACCTCTTTTCAATAGGGGCCAGATTAGTGTGCAGCGGTACAGTGTGACTTATCGCTGCGGTGGAGCGCTTGCTCTCAATGCCCCAAACCCTGGTATACAGTTTCAAAATAACGCTGGATTATCACCACTTTTGAGAGTGAAAAATGCCGGTAATGCCCAGCAGCCTGGTCTTTTGTTTGGAGTACGGTCTTTTGTTACTGGGCCCTGTTCCCTTTGTCCAAGTTTGGAGACCCCGGCCACGCATACAAAACATACGTCTCCGATTCCGGAGTCCCCGGCAGGAAGTGGTTAAGCAATGGAGTCTTAAATGGAAGAAAGTTACATGACAAAGCTAACCCTGAAGAGCCTGAACTAGCCAGAGTGTTAATCACTCCCTGCCGGGCAACCTGTTTTCAAGTACATAGGCTTTATATGCAGAGCTGGGGAACCCGGAACTGGGACAAAAGAGTTGGGCCTTATAACAAAAGACAGTGCTCAGCACAAAAGACTGAGCTGCTGGGCATTACCGACATTTTTCCCTCTCAATAGTAGAGATAATCCAGCATTGTTTTGAAACAGTATACCACGGTTTGAGGCATTTAGAGCGAGCGGATTACCAAAGGGGACAAAAGGCAGGCAGCAAGTGGTTAAGGGGAGCATGCATTTTTTTCACACTGAGGCAACATGTCTCTGTGCAATAAAGCAAATCAGTACTGATGACATGCATCCAAGAACTTCCAGCAATCAAGAACATTTTACAACTTACTTCGGTGAAGAAGCTTGGTTGAGCACGTTGTTTGGCACGGAAACGCTTGATTTTCTGATGGATGCGTTGATCACCTCTCTGTAGCTTGTCAAATGTGGCCCACTCACAGTGCAGGTAGGAACTGCGTGAGAAAGGTTACATGAGAAACCCCCAAAATTATGTGGACTATGCTTATCTACGAGGGCATGGGCTATGTGTACACATTAAAGCGCGCCAATTTTGTGCACACATATACCTTGCATTGTGACCTTATTTGGCTGAAAACTGGTCACATGCATTGCCCTTTGAGCCAGGAAAAGAGAAAGTTGGCTTGTCTCACAAAAACAGTTTCTTTTAAACTGACTTTATTTGAGACTTTGACTATTCAAAGAAAATGGAGATTTCAAACGCTAGCTTTGTATTACAAGATTTGAAGCTAATGAAGATTATACGAACCTTATTACCGCTTGGCGATTTTCTCGATTAATCATGATTAGTTTCTCCTACTCATTTCACTACTCATGGATTTGCAAGTAATCAATTAATCGCGCCAGGACGATTACATGTAGTAACTTTAGAAATATATGCGAGTAGTGATTGTTATGGAGTACCAATTAAGTTATCCACACTACCACATTGTACATGATCATGATCCAGGGCACACCTGCTTTATTTTGGCAATCCCCACTGACAGGCTTGTGGTTGACTGGGCCAGCGGCAGTTCAATTCAACGAACTTTAGCCTTTCCTACTATTAAACTTAGTCCAAAAATGGCCCTTAGTCACATGTAGTCATCCGATGTACTCGGATCGAACTGGAGCTCAAGCCACAACCGTTCCAGCATAACCTGTACCTGTATGTAATCGTGATAATTTTATAGCAGCTACAGAGAATACTGCCACTGGCTTTCCAGATTTCAGAATTAATGAAATAACATAAAAGCGGAAACAAAGAAAAACAAACATGCCCTGGCACTTGCTACTGCATAGTGTGCATTATACTTGTGCATAATTTCTTCAATGAAACTGATGAAAGCACCATATTCATGTGTTGACACCACGTCTTGGAATTTTTGCCACTACTCGTGATTAACTGAACAGTCCTCCAACAGGTGAAGGATTGAGGAGTGTTAAGGTTTAATAATTGTGATTTGTTCGTGTTTGATTAATTAATTAGCAAAATTCACTGATCGCCCAGCAGTAAACCTTATAGACTTCAAATTGGAGGAACTTACAAGTTTCTGTACTTGACATAAAACTCCTCTATCTCGCCAACTTGGGCCTCACCAGGCAGTTGGGGTTTCTTTGAAATGCGGGAGGACAGAATCTTTTCAACAAGGTTGGCTTCAGATTCATCAGGGTTTTCCTGAAAAAAAGAAAATGTTAACAGGGAGATAATTGATCAAGCTCATGCACAAAATTCTTATTATAAAAAGTGAGCAATGTGTACAGAACTTGCACATTTTCTCAATTTTATTCACTGGATTGTGAGGAATTCGCTTGTTCCTGCTGCTAGATCAGAACTATAATGGATAGACTGGAAACCATTCTATAGTGCTGGAGCCATTTTGGTACATGACTGAGGTTGTTAACCCCTTGACGATAGGAATTTTTTTCCCAAAGCCAACTCCAAGAATTCCAGCCTCGCTTGGTCAGGAAGGCCACCTGCCAAACTGCAAATTCTCAGTTTGTGGCCCTGCGTGCTCTGCACGCTTTGAATGACACAGTGAAAAGGCTCATTGTTGGGTGGCATGCGGCTCTATTAACGCTTCCACATTACCGTTGCCTCTTTTCAAAGTGGGGACTATTGTGAAGCTGGTGATTATGTTGCAAATTTGGTTTTTTCATTTCTGGGCTACACACAAAGGGCAATCACCATATATACAAGAGCCAGGGTCTGCCTTCTTTCACCGTGTGCACTCCAGTGTGGGCCGAGAATAATAGCTGAAAAGCGGGCCGAGGATCTCAATTTGTACGGCGGCTCTTACCGTCTCCCAGAACGAAGGGGTTAACTCAAGTTGGTTCATGTTGTTCTGAACAATCAAAACTAGCGAAATAAAACATAAAGGTTTCTGCGATTGAACTTGCAAACTTTTCTATCTGTATTTTTTTTTGTTTCTGAGTTTTTATTCGAAGCGAATCCCTTGCCTTTTTGGCAATAAAATGAACCAAGATTTCCCTATACTGGAAACAGTAAGAGTCGCCTGTGTTAAATGCACCAACTTGGTGGCTAGTCTACCTGCAAACAGTGCACACATGCAAAGCACATTTACATGTTCATGTCCCCACGAATGATTCAGACCGTGCCCCATGATCTTTGATTTTTCACAAGTATAATCTTCCTTCCTTAACTTTCAGATTAGCCTAATTGAAGTAAAGTGAACACACTTGAAGTGGGTATATTTTGAGCTAACACAAAAGGTTTTACCCAAACCACATAGTGCTCTCCTATTACCTGTCCTGAATAGGTTTCTTTCTTTGAAGCAAAGATTCAGAGTGTGGTAAATATGCACAGAAAACTGGGACACTAAGGGGTATGTTCAGTAAAACCGACCTTTGGTATTGCGGTTTCGTTATAGCGGCATTCCATTGTAGTAACTAAGTTTTGTTTTTCGGGATGAGATACGTATACTTTTCACTGCTGTCCTACATTATATTATCATGTGAAAGTAGTTAAGTGGACCGTTAAGTGCTACATATATTTCAACAATGGAATTACAGTCTGGAAACATAAAGAGAGTTCAAGTTAATCAAATGTTCATTTGAACTTCATTGGCATCTTTAACAGAAGCACCTGTTCACTCAATTACCGATAACGCAACCAGATAGAATGAAGAAAACCCCAAATTTACCACAAAGAATTTTGCAGATTCATTCTGTGCTGGTGCTACAGCAGGTGCCACCGTTACCACATCCACTTCCATGTTACTGTCTGAATCCTTCTTGTCACTGTCACTGCTGTCTTCATCCGTAATGTTGAATTCATAGGCAACGTCATACCGTTTACGTTTAGTGTTACGACTGGACCTTCTTTTCTGTGTGTTCAACCAGTGGTAAAATACATTGGTTACTAATTCTGAACACATATGAATTTTTCTTAAAAAGTTTGATGAATTTGCTGTAATCAGAATCTAGTGCAGTAAACAATGGAAAGACCAAGCCAATATAGGACAGGTAAAGCAGTGGATGATAGTGATTTATAAATCCATTACCTACCACTGCACACGAGTCCAACAATGCTACACGTACCCGTAGGCCTACTACCAGACTACAGTATAAGCATCTTCAAACATTACCTCATAGAGCACTGGAAATACGTAGTCATGGGAAATAGGAAAGAACACCACAGAGACAAATACTTATTAACCTTGCAATTCATTAATCCAACATTGGTGAACAAAAACGATTAGTCCCTGCAAAGTGAAGTCAACCCTGTAAAGAATTTGCAACTGCAAGAATAATACTTATAGTCAGTGTGCCAAGACCAACATGATGTTGGGAGATGGAAAAACATACAAAAACTTGTAAAAGACTGAGTAACAGGGCCACTGGAATTACAATAAAATTAATATTCACAAAAATTTCTGCCATTTACTTTGACTTTTTCTGAAAAGCATACAACAGTGGAACTTACTGAAGGCCCAAGAAACCACTTGCATTTTTACTGAACAAATCAAAAGGTATTTCAATGGGTCTGGCAAAACATGGGTTAAATCTAAATGAATCAAGAATCCATGAAAACTGAAAAGAAAATTTGGCAAATCAAAAAGGACAGATTTTCATGTATTTTGCAATGAATAAACACAAGCCTAGGCACTGTGCAGTAAAAAAACTGGCATTTTTTTATTGTTACACATGTGAAATTTGTGACATTTTGTAGGGTGTAAATATTGTGTTTGCACCATACCGCCAGCAAAGACATCAATGTGAGACTTGGGAAAAGTTTGAAACACCTTTGCCAGTCTTAGGCCCATCTGGAAGTCCAAACAGTACAGCATAAGAACCAAGTTAAGACTCTTCAAAAGTAACTCCTTACAGTGAGGCAGTGCCTATTTTTTGTGACAGGTCAGCAAAAAATGTATACTTTTTTGCCATGCTCAATGTACGCAGGGTGGGCGACATGTTACCTATAACTGTTCCAACAAAACCATTCATCAAATTGAGTTAAAATTCCATGTTTGTACGAATAAGAAGTGACTTTATATGCATGCAACGTTTTTTAAAAATTCATACACGGGACAGCCAAGTTCTTGGGGGTTGGGGAAGCCCCTGGTCCAAAATATGCCAGCTCCTTGTAGAGTAGGCATCTGGTTCTTACCTCTATATATGCGTCGTCATCTGGCAAGGCTTTTACCAGAAGTGCATCCTCAGCCTCAGAGCCTGAAGATGAGGAATCATTCATGTGCTTCCTCTTATTCTTAAGCCTCACCAGTGCAGCTGCAGGAATTTTCCTGAAATGGACCAAAAAAAAAAAAGAATCAACTGCAGTTTATGCTGTGGTGTTATTTTATGTTTATTTGCATGAAATTTGTGCCTCTGGAATCAAAATGTCGCATTCTACTGATATTACATGTTGCTGGTCATTATAAAACCTGGAATTTTTAATGGTTGACAACTCCTTTGATCAAAAGAAAAACATCTGCAGTAGCTTTGGTCTTTATGGGCAATGGAAATTCATATTTGGAATCTTTTTCTTCAACATAATAGCTTTTAAATGATACCTGCATAAATCCCTGTCATCAATTGATCGGTGTATCGCAGAGCACTTAATGAACCATCGTCCGAGTCAATGGTACTCATTCAATAAAACTTTATTTCATTTGACTGGTTCCCATCCCATTTCGGGTATTTCATTCCAAGTAAGAAGGAAGAAAATAACACAGGGACAGGAATCAGTCTAACAAAGCACAGTACAACCAGCTTCAGACATGCATCTGTTTTGCAAAATGGCAGACATTGGTAAGAGAGGACCGTTTGTTCTCATAAAGGAAATGACAAAGATTCGTGGAATTACTGCATAAAACAAATACCGACTGTTTCACATTCAAGCAATGGTAAGAACAATTTCATTCAGCGACAGAAAATGTATGATTCCATGAGCCAAGTAAAATCATTCTTACCACTGAACTCATAATGATTTGTTTTTTGTACAATTCTATAGTCTGGTTTCAGTTTTGTGGATCATACATGTATGTCAAACCTACATTGTAAAAAAGCGAAACCTCTTTCAAAGTACATGCATGTAATAGTGTTTCCCTTTAAAGTCTGTCATGTATGGCCAAATGTGGTTTTAGGGAGTGCCTCAAAAGTTGGGAACATTCACAGTCTCTTGGAACTTTCCTATTTGAAATACCCATCTTGTATTATATACAAGATGGGTATACATAAGATATACATACATTATATACAGTGTTCCTGTATGTTCTAGTTTTGCCTCACACAGGAACCCATCTTTGAACTAACACTCAAAAAACAAACAAATCCCAAAGGAACATCGGAGTGTTTCACTTTGGGAACACCAAGCACATTCTAGGCATTCTGAATTTCGAGATGCTCCCTTACTGCTAGGTTTTATCAAAGGATTTTTTAATATAATGCAACTTTTACATTATGCTTCAGTGAAGGATAACAAGCAGCAAGAGTGCAGGAAGTACACAAGAGCTCTTACGTACTTACACGCATGTTCTGAAAGTGACAATAGTAAAGAATATCAATTTTAGTAACTCTTTTAACCTTCCTATGCTGAAGTCACTCTTTGGGTCATTTGGTGAACACCACAAAGAAGCACAGCTGTGTTGTGTTGTGCACTGCCCCAACAGTCCCTCACAGGAATATCAGATTGCACTTTTGTGCTGCCCAAAAACCGTGCTTCACTGTTTCGTGTGCATAACTGTGCAGTAAACCAAATGCAGTGAAGAGGACTGCACAGAACACCCTGGGTCATTTTGTGCTGGCAACCTACTGTGCACACACTGAACCTGTGCATGTTTGAGCTCCGTATAGAAAATACATGCTCACCAGTGACTGTGGGCATTTGTGCACATTTGTGCTGTAAAACCAAAGGAGGGTTAAAGTAGCAAATGCAAGGCACTCCATTACATTCATACACAATGACTTACTTGGGTGGGACTTTCTTTGGTCGTGCTTTCTTCTTAACCACTTTGGGTTTTGGTGGCTGCTTTTCCTTTGGCTGCTTTGGTGGTTTCTTCACTTTGGGCTCCTTGGTCTTTACTTTTTTCTTCTCTTTAGCTTTTTTCTCCTTATCCAAGTTGACCTCTGGCAGTGAGACATCAGCCATTACCTTGGGGATGTTCTGCAGCCCTGACGCCTTCGCTCTTGCCACGGCTTCAGCCACAATACGGTTGGCTTTTTCCTGGAGTTTGTGCTTCTTGCCTTCTCGCTTGCTACTGCCTGAGGCACTTGGCTCTCCTTTGCTGGTTTCAGACTGCATGGATGGAGAGGAACCTTTCTGTGTAGTACTTTGCTGGCCTGGGACGGACACCAACACAGGCTGTATGGGTACACCTGAGGCATTGTGCTGAAGAAGTACAATGTGGTTTTAGTTAAATGAAAGCAATTGGGCAACCAAGAAAACGGCCTCATGAAAACATTAAAATGAGTAAGTTTTCACAGATAATTGAAGGCATTCAAAAGGTATAATAATCTTGGTTCGATATAGATGTTAACTGAACCAAAGGTTAGGATATTACAGCCTATCCATTCTCTAAAACTGGATTTGAAACAATGTAATCAAATCCCAGAAAAACTGTTCAGTTTTGCCTCTAAGAAACAAGTTTAAAAGGTCAGGCTGTCTAACCTTCATGGTATTTTTAAAAATGAATCACTTGCATCCAAAGTGTCTGTCCTGAAATGTTAGTACAAAGAGCATGATTAATTACCTTTGTTCTTACAGTCTGCACAGAATTTTGAAGTTGGCGTACACGAGCTTGGAGATCTTTCAGTTTCTGCACATTTTCTGCTGATCTGGGCTGTCCTTTGAGCTTACTGACTTCTTGAGCAATCTTCTGCACCTCTTCTAATGTACTACTTCCTGGATTCACCATGATTAAGATCTGTCCAGACTGTTGGCCTACTGCCTGTCCAGGTATTTGAATGGGTTTAATAGCTGATGTCTTGGTTGTGTGTTGAGTAACTGCCTTGGCTTTAGTTTGCTTGACAGTTTTTGAAGTTTGGCTGGCTGTAGGGCTACGTATTATGTTGGGAAGTTTTTTAGTGGAACTACTGTTGACCTGAACTGTGCTTGCTGTCTGGTTTGGCGAAGCAGAAACAGTAATGTTTGCAGCAGCTTTCTGAAGTGCTGCTGAAGCAGTGATACCTGTTTGAGTGGTTGCAGGGCTGGATCTATTAATTTTTATTTTTCCCACACTTGTAACAGTGAAAGAAGGCTGAGATGTTGCTGCTGTGGTTGTCTTAGAAATGCTTGCAGTCTGAGCAGAGGCAGATGTAGCAACATTTGACAAAGTAGGTTGGATTGCAGCTGTAGCACAGCCAGTCTGCTGAGTAGAGGAAATACTGGGTGTTTGAATGACAGTTTGATTTGGGACAACAGAACGGATGGCATTCATGCTTGGGGCTACAGTGACTGTAGGAGTAGAAGTCTGGGCAGAAACAACTGCATGAACAGTCTGTAATTTTGCAGGGACAGTGAGGGCTTTTGTGACAGTGTGACTGGCAATGGCTTGGATGGTCTCGGCAGTTGTGGGCTTAGTAATTAGTTTTGTAGTTTCTGAAGTTGACTTGGAGAGCACAGCTACGCCTGGATGGAAAATCTGCTGACCAGCAGGGATAGTAATTGTCTTGGTTATCATTCGTGTGGGAGCTATGGAGAGAGATAAATTAGGGGATGAGCAGGCGGTTGCAGAACTTGCTGCTGTAATACTTCCAACTGTGGATTGACTTTGCAAAGACTGTGTTGAGCCAATGATCCGGACTGACTGGGGACTGGTCGGAATTGTGACAGCTTTAGTGACGGTAGTTCCTGAGCTGACTACTGTACTAGGTAGAATTGTTAAGGCAAATCCACCACCTGGAAGTTGCTTGACTACATGCTGTTGTGGTTGCTGGACTTGTGTAGATGGTACAATTTTTATTTGTTGGGCACCAGTTACTCCTTGCAGTTGAGAGCTATTACTGACATTTGTAATAATGTACTGGGATTGAGATGCCATGGATGCTGCCTGTTGCTTGGGCGGGGCCTGCCGCACAACAGTGGTCACCTTGGCTGGTAGTGGTTGCTGTAGCTTGCTAACGTTTCTCTGCAAGGAGCTAATATCTTTCATCTGCAGGCGCAGAGTGACAGGCTGATTAGGCTGACTACCTTGAATGAGCTGTTGCTGATTGATGACTAATTGCCCACCTTGTAGTGTTGCAGTAAGAGGTTTAAGTTGCTGAACTCCTGTTGTTTGCTGACCTTGCCTGACAACTTGTACAGCTCCAGGTTGGTGCTGCTGAGAAATAGTAGTTTGCTGAGTGACCAAAGTCTGGCTTTGTTGTCCTGGCAGCTGTATCAGCTGACCACTAGCTGTAGCTGATTCCACTGAGGTCTGAGTCTGAGGTTTAGGCAATGCATAATCGTGATGTGTGAGTGGCGTTTTTACTGCATTCACAGCATAACCATGCTCCTGTATTGGCTTGACATCAGATGAGGTTGAAGATGAAGGCTGTATTGTCTGTACAAGTGATGTACTTTGTTGTGCCTGAAGTCTCTGTGGGCTTCCGCCGATCACCACAATTGTTTGTGGTTGCTGAGTTGCCGACTGGGTAAGTGGTGAAACACGAACAACATTCTGCTGCAACACCTGCTGTCCTTGTTGAGGTTGGATGCGTATTAACTGCTGTTGTTGCTGTTGAGCAAAGGGTGCTGTCTTGCTGCCTGGTGAATGCATCTGAGACATCATGGGATCGCCTACAGCAACAACTGGGGGTGAGGTCGTGATTTGGTTTTGATTGTTGGAGGTATTTTCTTTCAGTCCTTCAGGAGAATTCATTTTATTGGCGGTAGGAGATCTGGCAGGGTTCTAACATGTACCTCTGAGAAATGTTCTTTCACATTATGGTTAGTTTGGTATACCGTAACTTGTAACTGTGGCAAATCCCTCTGTGAAGAAAACTGTCAATGAAAGACAAATGCAATTCAAAAGCTTTGACATAAAAACAACTCTGACAGCAGTTAATGTGGAGATACTTCAAGGGCCCATGCAATGCAATTTTTAATGCGGTTCTTCTAAATGCTCCTTTGTGCCCCATTTCATGCTTTTTATGCCCATTTTTTATGCTAATGTACATGTGCATGTTTGCATATTATTGACAAGTGTATGATGTCCTCCAAGGTATAAACCTCAGTGCTGTAGCTATTTGTGTATGACAAATGATAGGTGCATTATCAGAATATGGTAGGATTTTTGGGAGGTAAATTTCATTGAAAGGTAAATTTCATCCTGAATTAGTCCCCAATTTTAGGACACTTCATAACCAAACTGCAACAGCAATATGAACAAAATGAAGAAAAAGAAATGTTTATTTTGTTGCATTTCCACAATTTTTGAAAAACGAATACATGCAGTACATTTCTTGCCCTGAAATTGTGCTCCATTTTAAAAAAATATATCAAATACACACGTATGTAAATACACATGTGCAGTTTTTCAAGGCTCTTGTGGGAATTCAGAGCAAGCAAGCACACGCAAGAAGAAGCGGTGACAGGTGGCAAAAGGTAAAAAATTGTTGAGAGGCAAATTAAAAGGAGCTGTCTCATAGACAATCCAAAATATGTGAAAATGAGCCCAAATTGCCTTGTTTGTTTATTGTGAACAGCATTCTCAACATCTACATGTAGTTGTAATGCGTGGCTGGGGCCACATGTAGACTATACTTCTAAATGTATATACATGAACATGTGTACATGTATTGTATTTAAAATTAATACTACCTGTACATCAAGCCCGTTTGATATTCATTTCATATCACGATATCATCAAAAATATTGCAATATCTGATATTATCGTGATGACGTCATTTTCCATTCATAAAATAAACACGACCATAACCACTATGTCCTGAGAGCCACGTTTAAAAAAAAACAACATGTACAGGCCTTTGTATTATCTGTACATTTAGAACTCTTATATGCTGGTGGAAAGCAAATTTCAACATGGAAATTGTGGACATTAAATTATCATCATATCATGGCACCGTATGGAAAAAGCCATTTCCCCACCCACATTTGCAGTAAAGTTTGCTCAATTAGGCAACCCCAAAAATGGAAAAAGCACATGCGTGTTACTAGAGGAGCTACTGGGTACAGTGGTATTGATGCCCTCACCTCATTTCTATAAGTCGTCATTTATTTCTCACATAAGTCGGCATGTTTCGCTCGGTCCCTTTTCTACAAGACCACAAAATCCTTTGGTTTCCTTTGCTGCGGTTGCCTAAAAGCATCAAGCGACAATCCCCACACTGCCCAACTGATGCATGCATGTGGTTGAGGACATCAATACCAGGGACCCCTCTTTGGCTATGCATGTGCGCTTTGACCATTTTGGGGGTCGCCTTATTGAACGAACTTAACATGTACATGTAGGCCATTTTCCAATACTTGAGTTCGTCTCCGTTAAGGCTTCAACTGTATTTTACTACCTGACTTTGAAGTTGTAAGCGCAATAGCAAGTTTGATAGAGGCGCAAAACATCAAGTAAGATGCAAAAGAGCGAGACATTACAGTTCTTCAATTTAATTGAAACTGAAACGCTTTAGGCCTACAATCGAGAATTGGTTTTGGAGACGAAGCCTGAGATGGAGATGAAGTTGAGTATTGGAAAACGGCTGTGTGCGTGTGCGGCATGTGGGCGCAGTATCGATTTGCACGATAAGTGTTTTTACGAACGATATGATATCCGATATCAACAACATATTGAAATATTGTAAAATATCGTCATATCAAACAGGCTTACTTCCATTAATTCATGTCACTCAAAATGGCCCCTACCCCGAGTCAAAATCCTCCAAATTCACCACTAAAACTGTCCTTAAAATGTCTAATGCACCCGTCTATGGATTGAGTGAGAATCGGAGATTCCACTAATGATAATATGGTTTACTCAAATATGGGAAAAAAGAGAAAATTTCCCCTTCTACTCGGAAACGCTCTTGTTGATGAGCTTGAAGACACCATCGTTCCTCAAATAGTGATTTGAACTGTATGTTGATGTCCTGTTGAAGTCACGGTGACAGCATGCTTTCTGTGAATGGTCTGCTAGGCCAACGTACATGTACATGCACCATGACGTCGTTGACAGGACATCAACATTGGGCCTAGGCCTAGTTCAAATCACTATTTGAGGGAAAATTGAGCTCGTTGACACGACAGTTTTCGATTCCAAAAAGTGAATAACCCATATTATCATTATTAGAATCTTCGATTCTCAGTTAATCCATGGAAGGGCGCATTAGACATTTTAAGGACAGTTTTAGAGGTGAATAAACCTTTCCGGCGTTCATAATCCATTACAGGTTTGGATGACAAACATGCAATGGCAATGCATTTTATGCACATCCTTATGGGGTCAAGTGTACCTGCAAAATGTCAGTCTGTTTCCATTTTTATTTCATACGCCAATTCAAGCCATCCCCTTATGACACAGTGTTGCATTATTGATTTGGGACAAGGATATTTAAAAACTTTGAAGTTTAAAGCTTGGCAGAAAAAGAAAATTTAGAGAATCCCTTCCAACAACACCACTTTTTGTCATGGACCATGCTTTGACTAAGATTGTGAATATTAACACTTTTGTATTGTCCAATCAAAATCAAGACTTTCAGCTCATTTATCCTGCATTGACCGGTCACGTTCATTTTCAGCATGTAGAGTGAATGGTGCCCTTAAAAAAAAATTAAGGGTGATTTCTTCTTATAAACATTTCAAAACTTATTTGAATGTTTCTTGTATAACACGAATAATCTGAAACACACATGCATCTGTGAGCTGATGTGCAGGTAGGCCTAGGCCTAAGGGCCTATAAAAAAATTTCCGTAGCAAACTGTAAATTGATTTCTGAGTGGTTCACTTCCCCCTTACTCCCCTTAGGCATGCTGGTTGCGCATAAAATGCATTGCTTGTTTGTCAATGTACATGATACATTGCGAACGTCAAAAAGGTTTATTCCGAGGATTTTGACTTGGGGTACAACTACCAGTCAGTTTGAGTGAAATGAATTAACACTACAAAAACAGCACATGATGGAACATGTGGAATGTGGAGCCTATAATATCGTCCGACCAGGTCCAAATGTTACTTTTAGAAAAGACGATTTTGTAGGGTCCAAGTTACTCGGACTAGGCTAAACCATACAGCAAGGAACAGATGGTCTAACGTTACCCATTACTTCCATAGCAATTAGCATTTCCATAATTGCCAATATGATCTGACACTGGTAGGCAGTAGTACTAAGCCTACATCATGTACATGTACATTGTAATTTGTAGGCCTAAGCCTACATCATGATTACGGCACGGGAATGAGTGATAGGCCTACCTAATTTTCTGTCATTTGAAGGCAATATTTGTATTTCATAAGATTAAAGATGAAGTTTCTGAACTAATAGAGTAACACACTCACCCACTTTAATCCTCACAGCGCACAACAAAATAAAATTTTGCGCACCCAGAAATCTGGAAACCTGAACACTATAATGCTTGTCATCAATGCACGATGTGAAATCCCGGCATTCTCGATGAAGCCTGTTTTCTGTGCATAAGACATCGGCTGATTGGTCAATTGGAATAATCGTTCCAGATGTTCAAAGTGTATTTTGATTTATTTCTGTGAGTTTAAAAAGATAATGCGACAAGTACATTCATTACAACAATATTTTTGAATTTTTCTTTTTTTTTTAATTATTGATATTTCATAGTTACGTATTCAATTTGAAAGGAACAATGACATGTACATACAGAGTCCAATCAAAATGCGTGTACAGGGTTGGATTCGGAAAGACGGCGGACCACGTTCTGGGAAATAAGCTAGCCAATAGAAAGCCGCAAAATTCCAGCTGACAAGTTCCCGTATGTTCTAACAAGAACCTTTGTGTGCTCAGGCGCGGCTAGTGTACGCAGATGAACGGCCCTCCTGCAGGCCTGCCCTGCGGAGAGATCTTATTTTCACCTATTGCTTGATTGAAGAACAGCAAAATTCATCTTTTTGAGATGGTTGGCGGGAAGAAATTAATTGGAAGTCGCATTCTAGGGCATATTATTCCTCCTAATACTATCTTCAAATCCATGGCAGGCTGCAGCTCATGCAGTTCCAAGGAGTTTCTCTTTTTTTTATCTTGATCTCGCCATCATTCACACACTCCCCCGTCCTTGACCCATCTGAAGCAAGGGCGGATCCGGAAAACAATTTTTTTTGGGGGGGGGGTGTAATCTTTGTGGTCTTTCCGAGGGATGAGGATGTGTGCATTTTACATGTTTCAGGGATATTAAAGAGGTCTGGATCAGGAGCGTGCTTTGGGATTGAATTATTCTATTTAGGTCCAGTAGGACCCCTTCCACTGCCCGGGGGGGATTCAAATATCCGAATAAATGGAAACCAAACGGTTCAAACAACCACAAGCATATTTAATGCAAGGTGGATGTGTACAGGAGCACATTTCAGTTACCATGCATTTATTCCGAGCAGGCTTATATAGTAACCAGTGGCGTAAATTTGTGCCGGAAATTGGGGGGGCGGAATAGGTGTGTGTGTGTGGGGGGGGGGGTGATTCAATATCCCACCCACCCCTTTCTGAGGGATGTTTGTGTGGGGTATATACCCCCTCCCCCGAGATATACGCCCCTGTATATATAGCAACCCACTTTGTTCAGTAGCAGCTCCCACTTCTGTCCTTTTGTGTATACTCTCAGGCTGGCCTAAGCCCCTGGCTCTCACTACATGCTTATGTGTGGTTTAATTAGCCACCCCACATGCAATTTGTTTAGCAGACCGTGCAGACAAAGGCCACACATAAGTCCAGCTACCTGTTCATGAGTCAGTGCACTTAATACCCAACAAGTGTCAGCTTCACGGTTGATTTTTGGATTTCTTTTAGAGATATTTGTCAATAGTGCTGCGTACGCGTGTCTTTTCGTTTGAAGTTATTTTTTTTCTATCGAACCATTTTTAAAAAACAATATGAACAAGTCTCATCCTTTCCATTTGAGTTCCAACCAAAGTTATTTCTCTTCCGTGACTGAGAGTGAACTAAAATTATCATTGATACCACTGTTTGAGAAGTACATTTGAATTTGGTCTCAGTTTCCTTTTTTCTTATTTTCCCGGCTCTAAAGAAGCGTCATAAATCACTTTGAACCAGGATTATCTCCACAGGGCCGTTGTTTCCCATTACAGATGCATGTACATGTAACTCACAAAGTAAGGCGAGCATTTTTCTAATAAGTTGGTGCTTGGATTTTTAAGACAAATTGTAGAGGACAGAAAAAACGGAAAAAGGTATTTACTATAATCTCAAGAAAAACAAATAAAGGTCTTAAAGTGGGAGGGAAGAAGACGATACAAGAGAAGCAGCCGAGGACCGGAGACATCACCGGCGGTCAGACAGCTGAGAAAGAAATCTTTTACACTTGTACCGATTCACTGTTCAAGTGGTCGGTGGATCCGAGACTTCTCAAAAATTAATTTTGTTTTCAGTTCTGAATCCGGAAGGTCAGCGGGTCCGAACATCCGAGTCAACTTAAAAAACTCTCGCCTTCAATACTGCTGGTGTATCATGAACAACAGCCCCATAGAATGCAGTGTTTTTCAGATAGTAATTTTACATAACCATGCGTGTGGCCACAAGCCTGAGGCCAGGAAGATCATTCTCAACATTTAGATGGTCCTCAGCTGATCTGTGTTGAAGACTGCTGATCCGCACTGCCCCTAGGAAATGATATTTTGCTACTGACAATGTAGGCCTAGGTCAAAGTATATTTATTCCCACCATGTCTGATCTTGAGCACGTCACTTGTCAGCATAGAAATGTCAACTACATCTCTGAAATAATTTTTTTTTATGCATGTACTGCATGTCCCTCAAAATATAACCCAAAAGTTGTATTCATTTTCTCCCTCAGTATTATTCCAAAATAATGTTGACAGTTTTTCTATTTACGCTGAACATTTTCCGAGATATTTTCACGGAACTATTCAGCTCAGTATTCTCATTCTGTAGGCCATTTTAATGGTCATATGTGTTAAACACATCTGCGTGATTGCTACGTGTCTTATAAAAGTAACTGTCTTATATAATCATCTCCGCAATGCATCATCAGATTTAAACGAAATCTTCAGTTTTTAACAGATAACAGTTCAAGTTTCAACTTGGTACTAAAACAAGTTTCTTAGTAGTTATTTGGGAGAAACTTATGTCACCTGTGGGTTGTGTTTCTTGGCAGAAAAGTTATATTACAGTAGTAGTAATATCATACTTGAGGGCCTCAGCTTTAAGAGTCAAAGCCTGGGCCTTGAGGGTCACAGTAGCTATGGCCTTGCGGATCAAAGCCTTTGATCCAACAATGCCACTCACCAGACTTCAGTCATCGAATAAAGCACAAAAACTGTCCTTAGAAAAAGAACACTTCCCGAAATTGATGCGACAGACATTACCAATTAAAATAAAAGGTTACAACTCCAGTTTCTTCAACATTAAAAAGGACAATTTATAAATCACCAAGTGCACACATTTACCTCATTTTCCCCCATCCTCTTTAATTTGTAAATAAAATCGATAAATCAACTAAATTAATTCGTCCACTTTAGCTAAAACTGTTCTGACAAAATCACATTAAAAGACTTAGTCATAACTATTATTGTAACATCATTATTGTAGTTTTACATTAATAATTTTTGCTTGTGGAAACATGTAAATAATGATAAAGTACAATATTTTAAAACAAACAAGTAAAAAATATTGAAACCAAAAAATGTCATTTTTGAAATTCCCGACTGTTCGTGAAAATGATAAAATCAACATGGATATAGCCAGCCTGAGGAAGGGGTACCACATCTGCTAGTTGGTTTGAGCTATGTCTAAGCTCATTCGCAAGAATTGGCAGCCGGCAACCTCTCCCTTTTCAAGTTCTTAGCTTATGTGAGACAGTTCCTCTTAAACTTCTACAATTTAAAAAATCGGAAGGGTTTGGTGATGTTACCGGAACAGATAACAAGCGAAATATTAATACAACAATTCAACAAATGTAACATGCCAGTCTACTGTTTCCTGCTTGCAGCACTAATAGTAGTGTAATTGAATAGGCATGTAAATTTGCGTGTACATGAAATAACATTGGTTGCACAGGTGGAAAGGCTTGCGGTAGCACCATGTGAAGGAACATATCTCTCTTATGAGTATGTTTGGTTCTGAAAAGAACCGGGATTATACTCAACGTTTCAGGACTGCGCGCTCAGTCCGTCGTCAGGAGAACCACACATACTCATTCCTTCGAATGGTGCTACTGCAAGCCTTATCACCTGTTGCTGTCCTTCACCATGAATAGCCTGAAATTCCATTAGTTGCACAGGTTGCCGTGGCCTGTAACTATTCTGTACCACCCATGTACATGTACATGTTTGTATCATTACGAAGATAACTGGGTTGAGTAGTCCATGTAATTTGGGTAGTGTGCAAGTCACATTTGGATGTGGAAGAGGTTGATGTGCATCATGCACAATGTCATATCTTTCCTTTGGGAATGGAACTCTTTGGAACTCGTGAAAAGCACAATGTATGTTGTGTAAACTGCTATACTTATGTTAGGATTTCTCTATGTGGGTTGGGTGGGTTAGTAGAGAAGATTTGTCATCTAATTTAACTCAACAAATGTTCCCTTAATGGAAGAAATGATGAATACTGTTTACTATATGTATTCATTTTTGAACGAAGTTGTAACTTAAATGAAAAATGTGGCTGACTTTGTAAAAAATTGTTCTTCCTCCTCTTGTGGTGAGGATGAGATGGCATCTTCCAACGTTGGCGTATCTGCTGTAGCTTCACCCTTGAAGAAACTTGAAGCTTTGTCCGTCTCTTCAGCAGTCAGCTTCCCACCTTTAGTCATCGTGTAGCAGAAAAACGGGAAAGAGTCACCAAGCCCCTCCTCTGTTAGAGACCATTTATATTTACTCTGCGCATACAAAGGCAGTCTGAAGTGTGGTTGTGCAAAGGTGATGGAGATGGAATGCCCACCAATACAAAGTACTCTTGATACCTAAAAACAAACATTAAGGAACAGAAAAACGGTTACAGTAACGATATGGATGAATGGAACTAAACAAAATGTATGAACAAAACTTCAAATGACTCTGAAATACATGTACTGCAGTTAATCCAGAAACTTGTAGATCTATGATTTCTTCCAAGTTAAACGCACAAACTTTCTGAGAAACATATTGACAAAGATTGTAAAAAATCATTACAGAACAGAATGGTGCCATGTGTACTCTCAACCTCCTACACTTGTTGCTGTAACAAAATGTGCTTTCAAACCAATACACACCTCGTAAGAATTTTTTCAATGCACATCCTTGTGCCATCTGATATGGACTTTTTTCTACAGCCATTGGTGCATCAAGTGTCCCTTTCTCCAATACAACATTGAAGCTTTCATCAGCAAACCTCAGTTCCCTGGCATCCATTTCTGAATTCTAGCCAAATCTTATCAGGCATTTGCATTTGATGTCTGGCT